CGGCCTGCCCCAGCCGCCCCGCGGCCGAGGCTGGAGCGGGCGGAGAGAGACGGCCAATCGCAGGCCGGGGAACGACGTGGGCGGGGTGAATGCGAGTCCCGCCGCCCTGAGAACCCAGGCGGGAAAGCCTCGCCGCAAGTCCCAGAGCTCTCTGCCCTCGGGGGCGCGCCTCGCTGTGCTCCGTGTGCTGCCCTCTGAAACTTGGCCCCCCGAGGCTCCCAGCAGGTCCCCCACCTCTGCCGCCAAACATTCTGACCGAGTCCGGCGTTGCTTTAAAGGAACGGCCCCAAGAGTCATTCTTACCCTTGGCACCTGTCTCCCCTCTGTCCTTGGGCGCAACGACCTGGCGTCCGGAGAAAAGTCAACATTGCCCGCGGGACAGTGAGTTGATGGTCTGCAACTCAAAGAAGGACCGCACATCTCAGCTCCGGTCCCGTGAGGCTGGTACCCTGCGCCTGAAAACTTCACCGCGCAAGCCAGCTGGTCTTTCTCCCCGAAACCAACCACCTGGACAGCCTCCTTCCCAGCCGTATTCCGTCGTCCAACGTCGGCACCCCGCCCCCACCCTCAGCCTCCTTCCGCATCCCCAGTCACGGCCACCTCCCCCCGGGCTTCGACCTTTCCTTGCGTTTCATCACACAATCCCGGTGTTGTAACGAGAAGGTACTTTCTTCTTAGCTCTCAAAGGTTGAAAAAACTCCTCGTCCTTGAGCAGACGAGGTATAAGATCCCAGGCAGTTCCGAAGTCGCCCACAAAGAGACGCGACACCCACTCGGAGCGCTGTAACCGGCCAGGCACCGGGCCCCTGGGCGATCGGCGAGCACAGGGGCGCCGGGCTCGCAGGAGACGCGCTGGGCGCAGGGGCGCGCTCCAGATGGGTTAGTATACGGCACGTATTAAAGGTACTAAACCGCTGCTTTTCTACGTGTTCTGATTAGACCGGAAGGCTGATGAGTGTCGTATACTTGAAATTGATTCACGTGCACACAAAGGGGGGTTGAATTGTTTCTCTTCTCCCTGCCTCTAGGAGGACGGCAGAAATAAGCCGGGGGCCGCGCAGGGGAGGCTGGAAGGACGTGAGCATGAGAGGACTACAGCGCTGAACTCGACCGCGTGTCCGTCTGCTGTCCTGCCTCCCATTGGTATTTACACCGGGACACGAACTCGCACAATAGCCGGCCGCTCTCCTGCGTTGTGGGAAATAAAATTTGGTGTGTTGACTGACCCTAGACTGAAAGTTAAAAGGAAAAAATATCCATCGCTTCACAGAGATCCGAGATATTCATACATAAGTCCAAAAGGTGCACGACGACTCTCTTTCACGGGAATGCTACAGGTGCTCTCCGTCCCACGCTGGCCCTCTGGGCAGGCAAACAGGCCGCGAGTGACAGCGGCACTCATTGAAAAGCTGTAGAAGAGCGGTCCCCAAGCAAGGGACGCCTTCAGTGAAAAGTATGCGCAGGCGGCAAGCACGCCGACAGAGAACTGTCTCATTCTGTGCCCTTTGTGCCATCTGTGTATTATTGGGGATGGACAGATGTTGTCTAATAATAAAAATTATTTGAAGTTGGAGAATGTCAATCACTGTCACTGGAATTTAGCCAGCATCGTTGTTTTATTTCACTTGCACTGAGTCAGATGGCCTAAGATGTGTGTGTGTGTGTGTGTGTGCATACTTATGGGTATGTATATATATTTATATTATCCATGCGTTTGTAAACCTCTCATCTTCATTTTTAACTGTTATTATTACTTGGAGATATGACCATAAATAGTAATAAAACTTTGTCAAAGAAGAATTATTTGCATTGTATAATTTTTTTGTACCATTCCCCCCTCCCCGTTTATATTAATTCTGTCTGGTTAAGCATAGAGCAACTAACCACCAGGCCAGCAGTTCAAACCCACCGGCCCTTCCAAGGGAGAACAATGAGGCTGTGTGTTCCTGTAGTTATTGACAGTCTGAGGAACCCTAGGCAACAGTTCTACTGCGTTTCTAAGAGTTGGACTAGATGCCAGGGTTGGGCTTGGTGCCGATTACCTCGTCAACTGAAGAGGCGGTTTAAACGATGCTGCTCACTAGGTGAGGTACGGCGCTGAGTAAGTTATATGCATTACCTCACTTGGTTCTCACCACGATCTGATGAAGTAGGTACTGTTACCCATAGTTTACACATGAGGAAACGGACATAATGGACTTGCTTAAGGTTATTTATTCAGTCCAGGGAAAAGATGAAAACACTTTCTCTGAAATCATCATTTATTATTCAACAAACTCAATTCATTGGCATTGTCTTGATGCTGACTCATAGAAACCCTACAGGGCAGAATAGACCTGCCCCTATGAGATGCTGAGACTACAACTCTTCATCGGAATAGAAAACCTCTTCTGCCTCCCACGGAGTGGCTAGTGATTTCAAACTGCTGACCTTGAGGTTAAACAACCCAATGTATATCCGCTGCACCCCCAGGGTGCCTCTTCAACAAACAAAAACGTGCTCACCTTTTTTTTTCTCTAAGATCCAATTTTTGAACACCTAGGACATGGCCAGGTATTGCTATTCACTTCTTTCTAGTCTTCTATCTTCAGGGGCCCTGGTGGTGCTGTTGGGTAAAGATTAAACTGTTAACTGAAAAGTCAGTGGTTCAAACCCACCAGTCGCTCCTCAGAAGAAAGATGAGGCTATTTCTGAAACTATAAATATGTATAGCTTCAGAGACTGTATCCAGGATCACTATGAGTCAGAATCAACTTGATGATAGTGAGTAGCATGGGGCCCTTCCCTTTTAACACATTCAACAAGCAAACATCAAATTTCTGAGTTGGAGACAATACAGCTATATTAAACTTATTTCCACAAAGCCACACTCATGACATTCACTTTAAATTATTGTCCAGGGTGTGTTTACTGAGACGTGGAACTACAAAGCGGAGTGACCCATCCAGAAACTATATGACACCCCAAAAGTTTCCAATATCGGTTTTCAGTTTTGTCATGAGGGAATAGTTACCATATCTTTAATTTGACTAAATGTATGTTGATTGTACATGTAATTTTTTGCTGAAGTATTTGAGAGTCTGATGCACTAGGAATGAAGGGACCAGTAGCCTTCTAATTCTTTCACGTTTCTTCCCCCACCCCCCACTATCATGACCCCACAGAGCATGTACCGTGGTACAGATAAGTGCTCACAACACAGGGAATCCAGGACAGATATCCCCCTCAGGACCAATGACGAGAGGATCGATGCCAGGAGGGTAGGAGGACGGTGGGGAGAGCAAGGGGGAACCGATCTCAATGATCGACACATAACCATACACCCCTCTACAGGGATAAGAACAACAGGAAAAGTGGGTGAAGGGAGACAGCGGTTGGTGTGAGACATGAAAAAAATAATAATTTATAAATTATCAAGGCCTCATGTGGAGGGAGGGTGAGGGAGAAAGCGGGGGCGGAATGAGGAGCTGATACCAAGGGCTCAAGTAGAAAGAGAATGTTTTGAAAATGATGATGGCAACATATGTACAAATGTGCTTGACACAGTGGATGGATGGATGGACTGTGATAAGAGCTGTCAGAGCCCCCAATAAATGATTTTTTTAAAAAAGTATATTGATAATCAAGTCTGAAACTGTATACTACACAGAGATGGCTCTCAATAAATATTTGTGAAAATCAGTGAATAAGGGAATGGCGGTTGAGACGGGCTTCTGCCACGTGAGCAGCTCTCTGGCCTTGAACACTTGAACACAGCTCAGTTTATGAGAGATTGATCACATCACAGGCAAAGCCATATGGAGTCAAATCCTGGCTCTGCCCTCATTAGCTTGAGCAAGCCTCCCAACCACTCAAGGTTTGGGGGTTGTTTTTTTTCCTTAATAGCATCGACCTCACAGAGTTGATTTCAAGGTCTCCGAGTGGCACAAACAATTAAGCATCCAACTACTTGCTCAAAGGTTGGTGGCTTGAACCTGTGAAATGTGATGGTGGGGGCGTGTGACCGCTTCTAACTTCATGGAGGGTAGATGCATCAAGATCAACAGCCCAAGGCTGATTCCTAAAGGGTGAAGTCAGACAGACCTCCTTCCTCTTGCCTTTTTACCAATTCCGACACCACCTGTCTCTCCCACGGCACTCTGCTCCTCTGCTAGGTCCCATCATTCGTTACCATGACCACACAGGACTTACAGACAGGTTACAAGTCAGGGTCAGGAAGGACTCAATACAGCGCTTCAACCAGGACATTCTCTTCAGCTGTACCTGAAGTCAGCTCTCTCTAATTCTCAGCACCACCACCCCACCCCCGAGCAATCTCTGCGGACACAGGCACAGGTGACAAAGGTCTTCAGCTCTACCAGTCAGTGCCCA